AGATCAGTGCCACATAATTTGCTCTCAAAACCCTAGTTTGTTGAATTACCCTGTGAATTAACTGAATTGTGTCACAATAATTCAATTAAATGGCAAACACATACTTTACTATCTGGCATAATTACAAAGCCATCCATAATGAACATTTAAAATCAACTATGCCAAGAACGTCTGGATACTGAGTTTTGTTAAACAGAAACTAGTCTGACTGAGATTAAATCTAATTTTACAAAGCATATGTATGTGAGAACATAAGTCTCCCAAGTGGACAAAACCACTGTTGGTGCAACAGTCAGGATCTCTAAATGCTACTGTAGTATACCAGGACACTGCTTATAGTACATTTAGTCAGGAAATACTGACTTCAGGCACCCACAGTTTAAAAATAACTTGAGTATTACGTGTGTGTCAAAAACAATGCTGAAGATGAACAGAGTTCCTGCTGTGTTCTACTACATCATGAAAAAAGCAGCAATAGCTCAGAATCCACTAAAGAGTATGACAGCTTTTCTGCATGTCTGCTTATGCAGAACCAACAGGGAATTACATATCTCAGGATTTTAAGTAATTAAACCCCTAAAAGACACAATATGTATTTACAGCTGCACCACAACAGAATAAAAGAAATATAACTGGAGAGATTGAGATCTAAAAATAAAAATATACCCTACACCTTCTCAGGCTGTCAAACCAGTGACTTTTCCTGTTGCCAAAGAGAGCCTCGCATGCCTGCAGCTAGAGCTAGTCAGTGGTAGTGTTCACATGACTGGGGGACTGTAATCAAGGTGCTCTCAGCCCCAGGGTGCTTGGGAGCAGAAGGTCTGAGCTGGGCCTATCTATACCAGCAAAATTCCTATGTTGTAGAATAATGTTATAAAAAACACAGTATGATTTTGTCTGCATAGATGGGACCAAACTACATTATAATCAGGTGAGCCCTCAAGGTTCAGATCCCTTGTTGTCAGATTATGAGTTAGTCGCTCACAAGGAAACTTCAAACCTAGTGAACTTAAACAAACTTAAGTGAACTCTGTGCAAAGGTTTTCATTTTCACACCACACTCATCCTTATGATGCACACTTAACAATGTGCTGCAATATGCTGTTTAAATGTAAAAGTGACTAAAAAAGATAATAGATGCAGAGCAGGACTGCAAGGCAATGGTGTCTTGATTTTCAGAGAAGTCAAACACCTGCAGATTCCATTGGCTTCAACTGGAAATGTGGGTGCTTTGCACTTTCGAAAACTCAAGTGTTGTATGGGAGTTGTATTTAGACACAGCTGCCTCCTTCCCAAATAAAAAGTTTACATGTGTCATTAAAACTGACAGACAATTCAATTAGGCAAATTTACTCAGCAATACAAAGCTGCCCAAAATCAGGAGTGGACTAACGCACAAGGATCTGGGCCCTACAGTTTCAGGAGACCTCCAAATTGTCTTTTGATGAGCACTAGACACCATGGGGCTGCCTATACTTTGTTGCTCTCAGCTTGGCACATGTGGAATCTGAAGGCAGCAGAGGGACAGGAGGATTGGGGCAATGTGGTGAAGTAAGTTTTTGTGCTCTTCTCAAATCATCCTGGCTCCTGACTACTAACCTGATGCACATGGGGATAGTGACCTGAGGCCTAGCAGAATGCAGCAACAAGAGAAGCACTGAAAAAGCTAAAGAGGATGGCACAATAGCTGCCTGTTGTGATTGACAGTGATTTGGAAAAGAAAAATTCAGACCAGAGATGGTTGACTGAGCTGAAGAGACAACCCCTGAGATATTTGTAGGTCTGACCCACGAAGACACCTTTCACTGAGAGCTTGTGGATAGATGGAGTGTTTGGTCATGTTGCTTTTTAGTAGCAAACTCTTGGCTACAGAATGTAGTATAACAGGGGTTCTCAAACTGGGGGTTGTGAGGTTACCACCTGAAGGGTAGCGAGCTGTCAGCCTCCACCCCAAACCCCGCTTCACCTCCAGCATTTATAATAGTGTTAAATATAAAAAAAAGTGTTTTTAATTTATAAGGGGGGTCGCACTCAGAGGCTTGTTGTGTGAAAGGGGTCACTACTACAAAAGTTTGGGAGCCATTGTAGTATAAGGTGTGATGGCCTGGTGATAGAAAAAGACTGGTACTAACTGGTTTGAAGGACAAATGCAGAACAGTAATTTTTGTTCTCAGAAAATTAAATAAAAATTTCTATTCTCTCAATGGCAGAAGTATGGGTGAAACAGGAAGTTGTTATAAGCCTTGGTAAAGCAATTAATTAGTTGATTATTCCACTGTACATAACAAGGCTATATTAGCAAGAGGTGGGATCAATTAATGACCACACTGCTTCAAGCTATTCTTGTATCTTTCAGTATTGGATATCATTGAGGTACACTTAGGTGTTTATTTCACAATAGTTTAAACTGTAGCTATTTTAACACAGATTAATATTATTTATCCTCAGTGGGACACGAGACATAGCCCTTATGCCACATATATGTGGAAGAAGTGATTATTATTTCTCAGGAGGTCAAGACTCCACCATATTTGGAACAGAACATTTAGTCTTTTTAGTAAAGGGATGTTATATCCAGTTGGAAAACTGGGCTGAGGACTAATTATAAACGCTGTTAGTTAGCTCTGTCTTGTAATACAGTTGGTTAGTTAAAGCTAAAAGTGGTCTCTTATTATTTGTGGTTGGCAGTAAAATCAAGTTTGGGGAAAATGAAGGGTATAGAAATCATAGACACGTTAAATGATATGTTGTATCTTCAACATGACAGAAAAGTCTGCTATTGTTGTATTGATGCCAGAAAGGTTGGCAGATTATGTACAATTTATAAAACAAGCATAATGTTTTGCTGTGAACTAGTGAAGCCATTTACGTAACTAATGTTTCACTGACTTATTACAACAAATTCTCCGTAGCAATGATGCTCAGGTACCATCTTCATGATCAAGGCTCCTTACATAGATAACTAGAGGTTTGCTACAATACAAACTGCAACAACTCTTTGCTCATTACTGAAGAAAAACATCATTTGTATATTTACTGAATAAAACTGGGCAACAAGATGTGCTTTTAAAGAGTCCTGTGTCAAGAATTATAAGGTGATAAATGGAAAAGAGGGATACAGTGTACATATAAATTGTATAGTTCCTGCTGTTTGCATCTTGTTCACAATTTAGTAAAGCTGAAACAAACAACTCTTTTGGAGCCATCCTAACTCTCTTTTTGTTGGATATGAATCTTTCTCCCCCATTCATCCTCTTATAAGATCCAAGATGCACAGGAGTTTTCCTACTGCAAAGTCTGTCCGTCCATCCATGTTCTTATATTGGCGCCCATCGTTTTAAATCCTTTGTAGCTATTCTTATTCATGTCTATCAGCTGCCTGTTTCTTCAGTGAAATGCAAACCTGATTAGTAATGTCATACCCAAGTGTGAAAAGAGAATATTTCTTAACTTCACTGCCAGCCAGAACTGTTTTTAATAACATTTACAGAGAAATTATTCTGATGTGGCACACTCATTTAAATGCCCAGCACCAAAGATATGCTGTTGACCAACATTTAACTAGGAATCTTTCTTCCATTTAGTTTCAAAATGCCCATGCTAGTAGTTGAGATGTTTTAAGTGTAATTTGAAACCACTAGCTCACGGCAAAAGATGTTAATGTTCCAAACGCGTTACTGTTCAGACTCCGACTAACCCTTCTGATGCCATACTTCTACTACATCACAACATCCCATTGCTGAAAAGGAAACAAAACGTTTCCAGAGCACTCTCAGAGCTTGGATTTCCATTTGTATGCTGCAGTAAATATAGCTATTATTGTCTCATAGTTAATATATCTACAACAGTCAATGAAATAAGTACTTATTAGTTATTAGTAGGCAACCCCTTAGTACTGTTCGTATTCACAAGGTTTATGAACTTTATAGCTTGTCTATATGAGCAGTTATTCTGGAGTCGCTATTCCTGATTAACCTCCTGTGTGGACACTCATTATAGATTAATAATTCACACAGGGAGTGAAACAAATAACTACTCTGCATAAAATTAATAAAATCCTACTTTAATCTGAATTAACTTCCCTATGTAGACAAGCCTTACAAAAGAGTAAGAGTAGATTAATATTAAAACCTGACCAAAGTTGCAATACAACAAAAAGGGAACAAATGCAAGAAAATAAATAGCAGCTAATATCCAGTACCATTCTAATCTCTTCAGGCTACTTTGAAATGTGGTTCTGTCCCTCTTCCAATTTTGATATCATCCACAAATTTAATCAGGATTGAATTGACACCAAAGAAACAGGCAGTTGATAGAAGTGAATAAAGCTAGCTACATGGGGTATAATATGAATAGGGTTTTTTTGTTTGGGGTTTTTAAGATTAGGTGGTCAAATATATCCTCTGAACAGTGGCCACAGGAGCCCCAAACACAGGGCTACAGCTAGAGGGAGAAATGTTAGTAACACGAGTGCTAGAAGATCCTTTACACCTGTGACAGAAGCAGCTCTGGAGATCACAATTTTAGAACAACTGCTTTAATAAGTGAATAATATGAGAATGCTCTTGCCCTAATTTTTCAAAAATCACAAGTGATTTTGGGTGCCTAACTTCAGACACATTAAAGAGGCCTGATTTTCAAAGGATGGCTACTCAGCACTTTCTGAAAATCAAGCCCCTTAAAGAGGTCTCAAATTGGGACCCCCAAAATTTGAAGATTTTATAGAAATAAACAGCAGAAATGCAAAATGGGGTATAAAATGAAGCAGATCACTCATTACTGTTCTAATATCATTCTGTATAACTGAACATTATAGTTGCTGTGGGCAAGGTGTGGGAATGCAATTCAGAGGCTGAAAAGGGAGAGGTCTAAAAGAAAGTCCATCACTGTGAAAAAATTGGAGAACCTCTGCACTTTGGTATTACCGGTACCATTCTCACATAACAGTCAAACAGACAAAATTTAAGAGTGTATCACGAAACATGAGAATGAGTATCTGGTATTTCAGCAACAGTAACTCTGATGCTTTATTTTTGAACTTTAATGTACAACACATTGCTCAAAAGGAAAGTCAGTATTGGGTTATGCAATCTATATTTTGCCTCACTTGACAAAAAGAGTAGAATTATATAAACCACAGACCTATTCTGAGGATTTGCAAGAGGTCTGACATGTTTCACTTTTATCTGAGGCAAGACAATAACAGTGCTTTTGTATCTGGGATATATGCTAGAGTCGCAAGAATATAGATTCCTGCAAACCATGTACTTTGGGTGTATTTTTTCCATTCTCCCCAACAGTTATGGCTCCAAATCACCATTGTCTGAGTATGAGGCCTCAGCAATCTATGAATCATAACCGCAGGGACATTAGCTCTTGTATTGGAGAAGAGATGATGTCATTGCATGACTTGGCCAAAAGAGGGCACTTGGGGAACAAGAGATGAAAGGCTCTCCCTAAGACTTGAGTATGTGTCAACTTCACCACAAGCCCAACAGGCCAGAGTCCTAAATCATACTAGGTAAAAACACCTGCTAATCAACCAAATTGGACATCTTGTAAACTGCAGATATGCATGTGTGTATACATATGTACAATTTACATATATACATTCAGACTTTGTTTATGTTTAACTCAAGATCCGTGTCATTTTAGGATAAGGTCACAATCTACTTATTTCCTCTTATTTGGGATATATTTATAGAATATTAGATTTAGACTAATTACAGAGATAAAAAATAGCAAAGATTTCATGCTCCCATCCTTTCTTGTATAGGTACAGTTTACCAAATTTAAATGCACTGTTTACAATTCATGGTCCAATACTGCAACAATTTATGTATTGCAAATGTGTTTTCCCCAAAGTTAAGTAACTGAAAGGAAGATGTAAGAAACACAGAAAGAATAAATGTACATCCCACAATGAGTGAGTCAAGGACATTTAAACTCGTTGCTCTTCTCTTTAGTCAAAGGCTTCAGTGCTTTAAATCAGGGTTTCTCAAGCTTTTTGATACCAGGGACCAGCTTGCTGCCTTCCTAAACTATATCAGGCAGATCTCAGGGACTGGTGCCATTTTACAGACTGGTAGATGAGAAAAAGTGATTTAAATGATACAACCTGCAAACTACACTAATTCAGTATCAAGTAAAAAAAAAATCCCAATGCTATATTTATATACATGTGTTTTGCAAAACACGTTTAAGCAGAATGAAAACGACTTAATTTCCATCCAGAGTGTCACAGAGGATACAACGGGTGACTTCCTTTTTCTTAAAGGAGATGCAGCAGTTATTTTATACAGTGCCCATTTGTAAATTTCAAAGGTCACATCATCATTTTCATCACCTCTTGGTCATTTTGAACTTTGGTTTAAACATCAGCCATAAGACTGTCCCATAAAGAAAGAAACAGTGAAAGAGAGAGTGAAAGGAACTTTCTCTCAGAATGCTAGAAATCCTAAATAGCCTGAGATAAATAATTTTCAGCTTATGTCTTGTTTGCTTTGACTATTCACTATTTGTTATCCAATTTGAATGGTAGTCACCTAATATGCATGCTGTTGTTTCTGCTCTTAGTCTGGATGATAAACTTTTTAGGCAGAATAGTGAGCAAATACAAACTATGAATTTTATCCTTGTGAAAATTCATGAAACTTTCAAGATTCCCAAATACCTGACAATTGCTGAGACATACATGAATAACAAATAATACAATGCTCTAAATCATAGCAAAACAAAGGCAATGCTTCTATTTGTGAATCAGTTTACTATTTGACCAGCTCTAATCTTAAAGTTAACATTTCTTGTTAACTACTTCTAATAAGAAGCAACCCTCCTATCCCAGAAAAAGAGCAAAATAGTCTCCTGTCCACACAATACACAAGAGGAAGTTAGTGCAGTTCAATTACCCTGTTTACATAGAAATTAATGCTTGTCGATAACATCAATATTTACATATAAATAAAATACTAAAAAAGTATATTCCATACACATTGCCCATTATACATAAACACCTGAAAAGTAATCCTAATTCTAGTTGTGACTAACCAAAACAAAATGTTAAGTATAACTTTAGTGACCACACACTACTTTGTATATTCATACATGATACCTTATATTGACTGATTAAACCTGCATTTTTAAAATGTATGTACTCTAATATTCGTACCATATCGATTATATGTGGAATTATTGCAAGTTACAAGGAAATCTATGTGGAGAAAAGGGAAAAACATGCTTTATATCTGCATAGTTTGCCCTAGGGTGTTTGCTCTCATAGCTTTTACTGACACAGGGACAATAACTTACTGTATTAAGACTACATTTTTACAAAAGTGAGAATATAAGATATAAGATTTCCCTTTATATATTAAAAAAACTTCTGGAAAAAGTTTAGGAAAAAGTCTGCTTCTGTTAAAATACCACCTTTTTCCAGTGCTGTACTGCATGATTAATATCATGCATCATAAATAAAAGAAGACATTAGAGAATTTTAAACACAATTAGCAGAAAAAGACCTTTACATAATCTAGATAAATCTACTGATAAAAAATACTAAAAAATTAAATGCAAAATGAGACACTTTGTTTGAAATCTATTAATCTATGTAAACTTCAGTGTTTCCTTTAAAAAAAAAAATCAAAATATCCAGTATCAAAACAAAATTGGGTAACGTATCTCAATCATTTATGTTTTTGTTATTAACCTCAAACACACAAGAATTCCCTCTGGAAAACTAATTTGAAAGTAAATATGCCTTAAACTTAGCACTAGTACTAATCCCACAACAGAATCAAGATCACTATTAAAATAAAGCCTGGGGCACATTATGATATCTAAGATTGGTGGGTGGATTTTAATTGACTTGAAGACTGTCATAGTTCTATTATCATAAAACCTGTTACACACTTCCAGCATGGAGGACCCATCTGTGCCCACCATCCATCTGTTTAGACATGATTGGCAAAGTGGTAGGGAATTCGCAGTGGTTGCCTCTGCCTGAAAGGAATAAACCACAGGATCTTCCAGCGAGTGCCAAAAACTTCTGAGAAGGTCTGCTGCCATGGCTTTCGGGGCCTCGATCTACAGAAGACAGCATTATTAGTGAAAGACAGCACTCCCATGGTGCACTTCAGTCAGCTAGAACAATATAGATTGGCTGGGGATCCATTACTGGACTCTGATGAATTGTGTCCCAGCATCACAAATACAGCTTTTCTTTCATTATGACATGCAGCTGAGATTTAACTTTGGATAGGAGAAACTGAATCAGTGTCATCAATCAACTACAGGCAACTTCTGAAGGGGAGGAAATTTCTCGGGAGCAATTAAATACATGTCAACAACACAGTAGCAAGTGTCTTTTGATCTGTGCTTTAGAGACAAAATATAGTTTTGCTTGCTTTAGATAGGCAGGGAAGAAGAATAATCTTAGCTATTTTATATAAAAACAAGTATAAAAATAGTGAACTACTGCTACAGAAAAGAAACAAGAGCATGGTAGCATGCAAAAACTATTACCAGTGCCTTCAGTTTTCTTTCATACACATACAGTTTTTAAACTTTACTAGTTCTTTATGTTGTACTTACATTTCTTCACAACAGTTTGACATTTTTTCTATACTTGTTGTATCCTATTGTGAGAAAGAAAACATTATTAGAAAATATTTCCTCACATACCTAAATTGCAAAAATGTTATCATTAAAAGTATATAAAGAAAGAAGGAACTGACCCTTAATGTAGATTCTTTTGGAGAAAATCTAGTAGAATTACATAGAGCTATACCCCATACTAATATCAAGCCATTGTAAAATTTCATGCAGAGCAGTTTTATTCAGCCTGATAAATTATCATGCAGAAAAACTGTTTTCTGTGTAGATTTTTAAAATGGGGCACAGTATCGAATGCTAACAAACAGATTAGAATCTTACTATAGCTAAATTAATCAAAATGTTATTTATCCATAGGACATTTTAAAATAATATGCACAAAGAACAATACCTTTCTGAAAAAGCATACTTTTGTCATACTTTATACAGTCACCTGTATAACGAATGTGGAGTTGTCACACAAAAGATTATCACACGGACAAAATAAATTTCCACCACAATTTATTAAAATGTCACCACCAGCAGAAGTACTTCCAAAAGCAGATTAAGTAGTTTTAAAATATTTACTCTCACAAATATTGTAATGTGAACAGTGCCACCAACTGTATTAATACAGTTTCAGTGATCTCTAGGTAACTGCTGTAGATAAACGTGATTTCGCTAAAATTAAAGAGAATAAAATTAAAGAACATCTTAACTGTTTCTAAAGTGAAGATGAACCCCTTCTATAACTTATAATAAAATTCATGATTAACTTTCAAAACCAATATTGTTTGCTTCATTTGACAAAGTGCTTTAATTGATAAGCAATTTGTTTTAGCTCACAGCATTTCCAAATACATCTTTAAATGCTTCCAATGGTTGTACTTTTATGTGTTCATATTCCCAAGGTGTATGTCATAAATGAAAACCATTATTTTAGAAGTCAGTGGTACTTCAGTTTTAAACTCAAGCAACATTATAGTACTTTTGAAGGGATAAACATGGTTCATTATATCCCAGAATAATTTAGACCATTTGATCCAAAATGTAATAACTCAAAAATTAATTTTTTTGAAGGCAGTTTGATATGTTTCTCTGTTAATGATTAATTTAGGCAGGTACATAATGTGTCTGTCAGATTATATACTAGGTTTTGGATGAAACAAAGGGTGTGTCCCTTCTACCTGGGTAGCCAGTGAAGATTCCATTTTCTTGAATAGTGGTTTTGTCCATCTCTGTCTTTAGCCAAAATTCCATCTTCTATTATTGTGAACTCTACAGATGCTTGAATTTTAGTTTGGCAAGCAGTTTGAGAGCTTTCAACTGAGAGGCACCAAGTACACATTGCTACCACATGATGCTCCAGTAAGTTCACATCAATGTTTTCATTTTAAATTAAAGCTCTCTTTATAGTTGCAAAGACGTTTCAGTTCTAGAAATCATCCTCTTGATAGTACCAAAAATAAAGCCACTTTTAAAACCAGTGACTAATTAGACAATTTCAGAATGGATGGTGCTGCTGTGGGACAAGCTGGTAGCTCAAAACCTCTCCCTCCCTTTCTCCAATCAATACCTATTTATTGAAGCTTTGAGGCATCATACTAGCACTTTTGTTTCCAAAAATAACATTCCAAATGTGTATTAGTATAATCTAGCTTTGTAGTATGTTCTTTTAAATTGTCGACCCATTAACATTTTTTGTATTGATCTGAAAATCATATTTATCACTTTGGACACTTACTGCTGAAAGCAAAATTCTGATTGAGCGGTTGTGCTTTTTGACTGAGTCTACAGTCTGGCAGGGCTTTTTCATTGTTAAAGCATCAATACCTATGGAATGATAATATAAACTGTCTCTCTCATAACCCATTACATCCTTTACATAAGTGAAGGTCAAATAGAAAGAGGGGGAAAGATTATAGACCTCCTTCCACTCATTTAAAAATACTAAGATTTTAGCTGGAAAAGCAGTGAAAGCAGGTGGCCATCTCTCTCCCCAGAATTAAAAATTCTGAAGTCCACCTGCTAATGTTTTCAATTTACATCAACTGAATTGGAAGCACAGAATGCTTTGTGGGATACCTTTTCAGAATTTAAAGCAGCTCAACCACTTCTGAAGAGCTGTGAGCTAGGCTGAAGGGAATGGGAGGAAAGGAGAGTTCCCCTTTGAAGTTCAGCTGCTTGAGAAGCACTGGCGGCTGAACTTAAGAAACCAAGTCCCCTCTGCTGCTTCCCTCCCCCAGCATGGCTTCCAAGCAGCTGGGTCAATTTGAAAATTACTTTCACTTGAAAGTGAACCAATTTACCTTTTCACATGAAAGCGAAACTTCACAGCAACCTAAGAAACTCAGCAGCCATGCTTGGGGAGGAAGGACACAATGGGCATTTTTTCAGTTTGCTTCTTAGGCAGCTGAAACACAAATATCCTCCTTCCTCCTCACAGCTGACAGTTCCAATTCGAACCAATGATTCGAGGGTGAAAGGATGCAAATCCTGTTAATAATATCCTGGAACATCAGGAAGACATAGCATTCCTTCCTGAAATATGGTATTTTCCAAAGTACAAATTCAGTCCTGCTGTGAGGAAAGGCAAAGCTGCCACAGTAAAAACCCTTTAAAGACAGACCTGCACACTGGAATGAACCAAAATAATGTCTTTTTGCCCATAATTTTCTGTAATCGCTTTGAAATTAATTTTGATGTGTTATGGAATAAACTGGTTCTTGTTCACATTCCAGTTTCCTATTCTGCTTCATGCTTCAATCAGGTCAAAAAATGTTTTGGACACAATTTTTTGCTGTGGAAATGAATGGGATAGCACAAATTTCACTACTATGACTTCAGTACAGAATCAGACAAGGAAGAAGGAAGACCTTATTTAGACAACAATATGAATGATCTCACATTTACATAGCATCTTTCATCTAGATAGAAACCAAAGCACTTTACAAGGCGTACTGATTGTACAAATGCTTCAAAGTAATCATTTTACCCATCTCTTGGAGGTGAAATGTGGCAATGGTTTAACAACAAACAGCAACAGAGCATACTAGTTTAGGGCAGAAAGAAGAGAATAATATTTCAAAGGAAAATGCAGTATGGAAACATAGGAAGGCAGAATGAAATTTCCCCAAGTTACAATATGCCCAGGTGTCTAGAGTGCTTTACTCCACCAAAAAGGGTCGGGGGGAAACTGTAATTACCACATATGGGCAGGACTTACTATGGCTAAGTCTCATCTTAAATAATGCACCTTCAGCAGCATAAAGGCCTTTAATATCACATCCATTAATTCTGTATAGCTCAGAGGAAAGAGTTCCATCCACTGAATCACCAATATCACTTCCTGCTGTATCTAAGCTTTCCCTAGTAGTCTCCTATCCAATTGCGGATTCCGGCTGACTGTGCTTAGCAATTTGTATCTGAGATCACAGCTTGGAGTGATATGGCTACAGGCCATAGCTCTTAAATAAGCAAAAAATATAGTTGGAAAAGTAATGAACCAATGAAAGATGACGAATGTCTGACTGATTTAAACCTGACTGGTTTTTGTTTTGTTTTCTTTTTTGAGGGAGAGGAATGGAAACAGGACAGAAGGCATCTATCTGTTTTAAAGTTTTCACCAGTATAAACTTTGATGTTAGAAAAAGAAGTCTAAAATCGTATTGAACTAGTGATTTTTTTATTTCTTTATTTACCATGGATATAGTTATCAGGCTCCATGATATCAAATGAAGAAAGAAACCGTAGGTTTGACAAAACACTTGGTAAGAAGATTCTTTGACACATTCATCAGGCACTTACTATTACTTCTTTGATTCAGAGCAGAAGCACTATTTCTACTGCTCTTTTTATCTGCTTTCCCCAACCTCCACCCCTCAAACAACAAATCAGCTTTTCAAACAAAACAATGAAAATGAATTAAATTGTATTTTCAAACTTAGGCCCCTAACGGTTTGCCTATACTGCAATTAAAAACCTGCAGCTGCTTCATGCCAGCTGACTTGGGCTCAGGCTGCAGGGCTATTTAATTGCAGTGTAGACATCTGGATTTTGGCTGGAGTGCTCTAGGAACCTGTGAGATTAGAGGTTCCAACAGCTCGGGCTTCAGCCTGAGCCAGAATGTCTACACCACAATTAAACCACCCCGCAGCCCGAGCCTCGCAAGCCCGAGTCAGCTGGCACGGGCCAGCCATGGGTGTCTAACTGCACTGTATACACACCCCAAGTCTTTATTTAGGAGCCTAAATAAGTGAATTGCTTTTCAAGGACTGACCACCCAATAGCTTCCACCAACGTCAACTTAGTTCAGGTGCCAAATGAACAGAATAACCAACATTCTACTGAATCACCTCACCAAAGGACTATGGCTCAGAATACTGTCACTCTGTTTATTATGCTTCTAATGCAAAGCATTGGTTTGTTCAAAGTTAGTATTCTGTTCAACCTAAGACGCTTTGGTTATCTGTATGATGACCAGCTTTGAGTACTGGAAATACTAATAATATTCTTAAGAGCTACTTTTGGAACTGATTTCCAACTAATTCGAATAACTCTAAAAGTAGCACAAGTGTGGCATAATTACTACAGTGCTCTTAACATCTGCCTTTAAGAAAAATGAGATGTTATTCACCTTGTGCAGTAACTGAGGTTCTTTGAGATGGTTGTCCGTGGGTGCTCCACTTTAAGTGCTTTAGTGCCTTGTGCTTGTAATTGGAGATTTGTAGTAGCAGTGCCCCGGTTGGCCACGCACACACAGCAGGCATCTCGCGCTGCTCGGAGCGGTTACCTAGCATGTGCAGCCAACCGGCCCCCAGTTTCTTCTCTTCCCCAGAGGATCGGCATGAAACTCCGAAGTATAGGGGAGGAGGGGGGTAGTGGAGCACCCACAGGGACAACTATCTAGAAGAACCTCAGTTACTGCACAAGGTGAGTAACCTTCTCTTCTTCTTCGAGGAGTGTCCCTGTGGGTGCTCCACATTAGATGACTGTTGAGCAGTGCACCTCAGTGGAGGGGAGGGGCTTCGGAGTTGGTTCATTG